TGTTCAAGGAGAACAGAATCAAATAAGCATATTTTTCTGGTACTGTCACATCAGTGCTCAAAAATGCTCGTTATGGCATTGACATAGCTGTGAGAACAATCAAATAGGATATTTCGGTACTGTCATCAGGCTGTTTGGATAGGTCGGAATGTGTTATGTCATAACATCAGGGTTCGGTTTGACCTGCAAACTGTATTGTTAGGGGATCTGAAAAACCACAATCAGTCAATTGGAAATGTAATTATACTCTTGAGTAAAGTATTTATTTTTTGGGCAATATCGGTATAAATGTTACAGCCTCTAGTGAAGGCTATTTAACCGTCTGATGGCCTTAAGATAGAAGCTGTTTTTCATTCTCTCGGTCCCAGCTTTGATGCACCTGTACTGACCTTGCCTTCTGGATGATAGCGGAGTGAACAGGCAGTGGCTCGGGTGGTTGTTGTCCTTGATTATCTTTTTGGCCTTCCTGTGACATCGGGTGCTGTAGGTGTCCTGGAGGGCTGGTAGTTTGCCCCCGGTGATGCGTTGGGCAGACCGCACCACCCTCTGGAGAGCACTGCGGTTGCGGGCGGTGCAGTTGCCGTACCAGGCGGTGATACAGCCCGACAGAATGTTCTCAATTGTACATCTGTAAAAGTTTGGGAGGGTTTTAGGTGCCAAGCCACATTTCTATAGCCTCCTGAGGTTGAAGAGGTGCTGTTGCTCCTTCTTCACCACACTGTCTGTGTGGGTGGACCATTTCAGTTTGTCAGTGATGTGTGCGCCAAGGAACCTTCTCCACTGCGGTCCCGTCGATGTGGATAGGGGGGTGCACCCTCTGCTGTTTCCTGAAGTCCACGATCATCTCCCTTGTTTTGTTGACGTTGAGTGAGAGGTTATTGTACCTGGCACCACACTCCCAGAGCCCTCACCTCCTCCCTGTAGGCTGTCTCGTCATTGTTGGTAATCAAGCCTACTACTGTTGTGTCGTCTGAAAACTTGATGATTGAGTTGGAAGCGTGCTTGGCCACGCAGTCATGGGTGAACAGGGAGTACAGGAGGGGGCTGAGCACGCACCCTTGTGGGGCCCCTGTGTTGAGGATCAGCGAAGTGATCACTCGTTGGGAGTGATGCCTGTTGGGTCTGGATAGTAAGAAAGGTCGTTGGGAGTGATGCCGGTTGGGTCTGGTTAGTAAGGAAGGCCTTTGGGAGTGATGCCTGTTGGGTCTGGTTAGTAAGGAAGGCCTTTGGGAGTGATGCCTGTTGGGTCTGGTTAGTAAGGAAGGCCTTTGGGAGTGATGCTTGTTGGGTCTGGTTAGTAAGGAAGGTCGTTGGGAGTGATGCCTGTTGGGTCTGGTTAGTAAGGAAGGCCTTTGGGAGTGATGCCTGTTGGGTCTGGTTAGTAAGGAAGGCCTTTGGGAGTGATGCCTGTTGGGTCTGGTTAGTAAGGAAGGTCGTTGGGAGTGATGCCTGTTGGGTCTGGATAGTAAGGAAGGCCTTTGGGAGTGATGCCTGTTGGGTCTGGTTAGTAAGGAAGGCCTTTGGGAGTGATGCCTGTTGGGTCTGGTTAGTAAGGAAGGCCTTTGGGAGTGATGCCTGTTGTGTCTGGTTAGTAAGGAAGGCCTTTGGGAGTGATGCCTGTTGGGTCTGGTTAGTAAGGAAGGCCTTTGGGAGTGATGCCTGTTGGGTCTGGTTAGTAAGGAAGCTCGTTGGGAGTGATGCCTGTTGGGTCTGGATAGTAAGGAAGGTCGTTGGGAGTGATGCCTGTTGGGTCTGGATAGTAAGGAAGGCCTTTGGGAGTGATGCCTGTTGGGTCTGGTTAGTAAGGAAGGTCGTTGGGAGTGATGCCTGTTGGGTCTGGTTAGTAAGGAAGGCCTTTGGGAGTGATGCCTGTTGGGTCTGGTTAGTAAGGAAGGTCGTTGGGAGTGATGCCTGTTGGGTCTGGATAGTAAGGAAGGCCTTTGGGAGTGATGCCTGTTGGGTCTGGTTAGTAAGGAAGGCCTTTGGGAGTGATGCCTGTTGGGTCTGGATAGTAAGGAAGGCCTTTGGGAGTGATGCCTGTTGGGTCTGGTTAGTAAGGAAGTGTGATGCGTGATTTGAAGGAGTCAGGCGCAGGAGGGTAAATCACAGTATACAGAGTTTATTCCGTAATACAGCATTAACCAGTCCAGTACGCAAAACAGACGCACTGGAACAAACAGGCACACAGGGAAAATACCCCGGCAATACAAAATACACGGAGCTCAACCGAGCTGCTATCTACTCACAATAAACAATCACCCACAAGGACAAGGGAGCAGAGGGAACACTGTTACACAGACCAATGAGGGGATTAGAACCAGGTGTGTGTAATAGACAAAACAAATGGAATGATGAGATGAGGAGCGGCAGTGGCTAGAAGGCCGGTGACGACGAACGCCGAAGCCTGCCGGAACAAGGAGAGGAGGCAGCTTCAGAGGAAGTCGTGACAGGAAGGCCGTTGGGAGTGATGCCTGTATAGTCTGGTTAGTAGTCTGGAAGAAGAAGAAGAAGAAGAGGGAGAGAGCCTGTGTGTGTGTGTGTGTGTGTGTGTGTGTGTGTGTGTGTGTGTGTGTGTGTGTGTGTGTGTGTGTGTGTGTGTGTGTGTGTGTGTGTGTGTGTGTGTGGTGTGTGTGTGTGTGTGTGTGTGTGTGTGTGTGTGTGTGTGTGTGTGTGTGTGTGTGTGTGTGTGTGTGTGTGCGTGCGTGCTTGCGTGCGTGCGTGCGTGCGTGTGTGTGTGTGTGCGTGTGCATGCGGGTGTGTGTGGAGTTGGCCTCTGGGTGTGTGTGTGTGTGTGTGTGTGTGTGTGTGTGTGTGTGTGTGTGTGTGTGTGTGTGTGTGTGTGTGTGTGTGTGTGTGTGTGTGTGTGTGTGTGTGTGTGCGTGTGCGTGTGTGTGTGTGTGTGTGTGCGTGTGCATGCGGGTGTATGTGGAGTTGGCCTCTGGGTGTGTGTGTGTGTGTGGAGTTGGCCTCTGGGTGTGTGTGTGTGTGTGGAGTTGGCCTCTGGGTGTGTGTGTGTGTGTGGAGTTGGCCTCTGGGTGTGTGTGTGTGTGTGGAGTTGGCCTCTGGGTGTGTGTGTTTGGAGTTGATTGTCTGAATCACTGGATCTGTCCCAAATGGCACCCTAATCCCCATATAGTGCACTACTATTGACCAGAGAATGGCACCCTAATCCCCATATAGTGCACTACTATTGACCAGAGCCCATAGGACTCCTTAACCATTTGGGACCGGTGCACTGACTATCAGTCCATTGTCAGCTGTCTGCCTGCCAGGAAATCAATGAAGTGCTAACAAACCTGACAATCACTATCCCTCCTGCAGAATCACCCCTTAAAGTTGGTGGCTCATTTGAAAAGCCGTTGAAAAGGTCTACGCTCCCCTGACTCACTGACACCAGGTAAAACACGTACAGTACACAACTCTTCAAGTCATCGGGAGTAGCCCAGTTCCTCTGAACAAAAGGGAGAAATCCTACAGCAGAAACCTTTAAGGTCCAGTGCAGCCGTTTTTTTATCTCAACATCAAATCATTCCTCGGTAACAATTGATAATCTTACTGTGATTGTGTTCAATTAAAATGGTCAAAAAATAAACCTAAAAAAAGATTATTGGCAAAGAGCCATTTAGCTAGGACTGTCTGGGAGTGGTCTGAGTGGGGAGGGGACAACTGAAAAGTAGCTGTTATTGGCAGAGAGGTTCGGAACTCTATTTCTTATTGGTCTAGTAACTAATTTACCGCATGATGATGTCACCGTGGAAAGGCCAAAACTCCATCCCACCAAAACAGGCTGAAATTTCAGCCGGTCTTTTCAAACAGCTCTTACAACAAAAGGGCACTATCATAATTTTCACAAATGCTCAAGCCTTTTGTGGGGCCTAATTGAGATTTGCTTGGGGATTCAAATTTGTGATTGACTTAGTGTTGTTGTTTGTCTATTGCTATTTTTGTATAACGTACCTTCAGATCACTGAAACCCCACCTGATGTGGTGGAAGTTGTCGAACCAGATCAGAAAGCCTTCGAGGACCACCTTCAGGCACGGACTGAGAAGGATGTGGAGGTTTTCGACCAGGTAAAAACGATTGTCCGCTGTTAATTTATTTTCTGGCCCTCCAAGAGATATTTAAGAAATATATTTGTAATATGAAATATAATTGCATTTATTCCTGTTATCAATCAAGGTGAGAACATGAACAAGGTGCAGGAGAAACAAGAATCAAGAAGGGCACCAAGTGCTACGACATCCGGGCGAATGACTTGGTTTGGAAGAAGGACGAAAGGAAGGCGAGACCTGGGAAACCTCGCTGCTCTTTCACTCCTAGCTGGGGTCACCATCCATTAAGGTGAATGTAAAACATCTCAGATAATAACTATTTGCATTTGCACACAAAATAACCTGAAGCTAGTTTTAGTTTCCCTAACACTGATATTTTTCTCTTTGTCTTCCTAGGGTTTCCTCGGTGGAAGCCAACAATCTTCTGCAGTTGGAGCAGTTGGACGGTCGACCACTGAAAGCACTGACCCCCTACACTACGGTGAAGCACAACAGACAAAGTATGTTAAGCTTTGGTTGACATTTCAGAAAGCAAGAAATGGTAGTTATGCTGAATTTAGAAAAATTTACCTCTTCAATTTACCTCTCCAAATGACTTTAGGACCATCGACTGTCCGAGCCCCCCAGAGGGTATCCCATCCACCAGAACCAGTGAGTTCGGATCAGTCTGATTCTCTGTGCTCTGAGTCGGAGGCGGACCAGCTTGAGGTAGGCTATACCTTCCAAAAGTGTTGAAAAGTACATATCTCCCATTTATAACACTGCACTAATCCATCAAAGTTTCTCCCAGTAAAGTGTAACCTGTGTGTTTTCTTGTTTACGTCTCGGTCTCCTGTCTCTCACTGTTCAAATAAACCTACCATTAAAATGATAGACTGATCATGTCTTTGTCAGTGGGCAAACATACAAAATCAGCAGGGGATCAAATACTTTTTCCCCTGACTGTAGGCTACCCTGTAACCCTGCACCAGTATTGATGGTATACTGTAGGTTACCCTGTAACCCACTCACTAACTGTACCTCTCTGTACCCTGCTTTGCAAACAAGCTGTGTTCGATGCAGCTGAGCCAACACATCTAGACATTGTAGAGCTGCCAATGGTGCAGGAACACATAGTCGTAAACACACACACACACACACACACACACACACCACATGGCCGTAAACCCTTCCTACAGGTGGCTCCTCTACAGTCTCTCCCCATCTCTGTGCGTGTGTGTGTGTCCGTGGGTGCATGTGAGCCACCTGTCCGTGGGTGCATGTGAGCTATCATGTCAACACATCTAGACATTGTAGACACTCGCGTGTGTGTCTGTGTGTATGCGTGTCTGTGTGTGTGTGCGTGCGTGCGTGCATGCGTGTATGCGTGCGTGCGGTGTGATTGACATGTGTGGAGCGAGGAATATGTCTGATGTTATCTCAATGGACCGATACAGTTATAATTAGGCTGTTTTTTTGCTTGGATATACATGTCTGTTAAATTACCAATATGTAAATGCATCATGTCCTCTCACTACTGGTGTTCCCCAGGGTTGGTTCGAGCCGTTTTCTTCTCCAGAGACCATGTCACTCATCTCCTGGTCTCTCCTATCGTTGCTATGCCGATGACACTCAACTACTTTTCTCCTTCCCCCCTTCTGACACCCAGGTGGCGACACGCATCTCTGCGTGCTTGGCAGATATCTCAGCTTGGATGTTGGCCCACCACCTCAAGCTCAACCTCGACAAGACGGAGCTGCTCTTCCTCCCGGGGAAGTCCTGCCCGCTCCAAGACCTCTCCATCACGGTCAACCACTCCACGGTGTCCCCCTCCCAGAGTGCAAAGAACCTTGGCATAACACTGGACAACATCCTGTCATTCTCTACAAGCATCTAAACAGTGACTCGCTTCTATAGGTTCATGCTCTACAACATCTGTAGAGTAAGACCTTTCCTCACACAGGAAGCGGCGCAGGTCCTAATCCAGGCACTCGTCATATCCAGTCTGGGCTCCCCGCTTGTCCCATCAAACCCCCTTGCAATTTATCCAGAACGCTGCAGCCCGCCTGGTGTTCAAGCTGCTCTCCCATGTCACTAGTCTTTTCTTACTGGTACCGACTTTGCTGAGAACTTCTTTATTGAGAAAGAATTGACTTACTACGACTGTGATCTGTTGTTGTCTCACCTTGCTACCTAAAGATGAATGCCCTAACTGTAAATCGCTCTGGATTAATAGCGTCTGCTAAATGACTAAAAGGTAAATGTATTTAAAACTTCAATTGCAGTTTAAAACAGTAAAGGACAGAATCATCTGATCATCAGAATGGTTCATTTAGTAGATAAATTAAGGTCTGAGACTGAAACAATATTACCGGTGCTGAGACTGAATCGATATTACCGGTGCTGAGACTGAATCGATATTACCGGTGCTGAGACTGAATCGATATTACCGGTGCTGAGACTGAATCGATATTACCGGTGCTGAGACTGAATCGATTTTACCGGTGCTGAGACTGAATCGATATTACCGGTGCTGAGACTGAATCGATATTACCGGTGCTGAGACTGAATCGATATTACCGGTGCTGAGACTGAATCGACATTACCGGTGCTGAGACACAAGTCTGCACATTCACTCTAGGGCCTGGTTTGGTCGCTGACACTGACCCTAGGTCAGGGACGGGCAACTCCAGCCCTCGGGGCCTGAATGGTGTCACACATTTTTGCCCCAGCCCCAGTTAACACACCTGACTCCAATCAGTCAACTAATCACGATTTTCAGTTTAGAATGCAATTAGTTTAATCAGCTGTGTTCGCTAGGGATTGGGGGGGAAAAGAGTGTGACACCGCTCCGTCCCTGATCTAGGGTCAGTATCAGCGACCAAACCGGGCTCTAAAGGTCACCAACCATCACAGACAACAGAGGCCAACCCCACAAACAGGCATCAGAGTTTCCGGATGCATCTGTACTATCCATCACTCCAACACACATAGTGAACCAGTTAGCAGTGTCAAAGGTGCATCGTGTACATTTCCCACCTGGACAAGAGGAACACCTACGTGAGAATGCTGTTCATTGACTACAGCTCAGCGTTCAACACCATAGTGCCCTCAAAGCGCATCACTAAGCTAAGGACCCTGGGACTAAACACCTCCCTCTTCAACTGGATCCTGGACTTCCTGACGGGCCGCCCCCAGGTGGTAAGGGTAGGCAACAACACATCCGCCACGCTGATCCTCAACACGGGGGCCCTCAGGGGTGCGTGCTCAGTCCCCTCCTATACTCCCTGTTCACCCTTGACTGCGTGGCCAAACACGACTCCAACACCATCATTAAGTTTGCTGACGACACAACAGTGGTAGGCCTGATCACTGACAACGACGAGACAGCCTATAGGGAGGAGGTCAGAGATCTGGCAGTGTGGTGCCAGGACAACAACCTCTCCTTCAATGTGAGCAAAATAATAAATATAAATAATAATAAATAACACAAAGGAGCCGAACAGGCCCCCATTAACATCGACGGGGCTGTAGTGGAGCGGGTCGAGAATTTCAAATTCCTTGGGTGTCCACATCACCAACAAACTATCATGGTCCAAACACACCAAGACAGTCGTGAAGAGGGCACAACTGGGAAACATCCATGGCAGGCAGTGTTGTCACGGACAATTTTCTTGGAAAAGATGTACAAGAAGGGAATAATATTTATGAAGGATAATTTAAGATAAGATAAGATAAGATAAGATAAGATACGATAAGATAAGTTAAGATAAGATAAGATAAGATAAGATAAGATAAGTAAACTAGAATGGTAAAATGACATCACACAAGCAACTAACAATAATGTATGGAGGTTTAAAAATCATAAATGGTTTAAAATGATAAGTATAATTTTTTTTTTTTAATCAGTTTTCACTTAAAGTCAAAATGTTTGGCAGCAATACCGTATAAAATACAAGTCAGTTGGCATTGGGTCTATGAACTGACACACAGTATAAAACAACTATTGACACGTCAATCCAATCTTTTCAATTTAAGATATTATATAATATACTTGCTACAAAAAGAATGCTCAGTATATGGGGCATTGAACAGTCAGCCTTGTGCAACGAGGAAACAGAATCAAATAGAGCATATTTTCTGGTACTGTCCATCAGTGGCTCGCTTTTGGAGTCAGGTCCAGGAATGGTTGTTATGTCATAACATCAGGGTTCGGTTTGACCTGCAAACTGTATTGTTAGGGGATCTGAAAAACCACAATCAGTCAATTGGAAATGTAATTATACTCTTGAGTAAAGTATTTATTTTTTGGGCAATATCGGTATAAATGTTACAGCCTCTAGTGAAGGCTATTTAACCGTCTGATGGCCTTAAGATAGAAGCTGTTTTTCATTCTCTCGGTCCCAGCTTTGATGCACCTGTACTGACCTTGCCTTCTGGATGATAGCGGAGTGAACAGGCAGTGGCTCGGGTGGTTGTTGTCCTTGATTATCTTTTTGGCCTTCCTGTGACATCGGGTGCTGTAGGTGTCCTGGAGGGCTGGTAGTTTGCCCCCGGTGATGCGTTGGGCAGACCGCACCACCCTCTGGAGAGCACTGCGGTTGCGGGCGGTGCAGTTGCCGTACCAGGCGGTGATACAGCCCGACAGAATGTTCTCAATTGTACATCTGTAAAAGTTTGGGAGGGTTTTAGGTGCCAAGCCACATTTCTATAGCCTCCTGAGGTTGAAGAGGTGCTGTTGCTCCTTCTTCACCACACTGTCTGTGTGGGTGGAACCATTTCAGTTTGTCAGTGATGTGTGCGCCAAGGAACCTTCTCCACTGCGGTCCCGTCGATGTGGATAGGGGGGTGCACCCTCTGCTGTTTCCTGAAGTCCACGATCATCTCCCTTGTTTTGTTGACGTTGAGTGAGAGGTTATTGTACCTGGCACCACACTCCCAGAGCCCTCACCTCCTCCCTGTAGGCTGTCTCGTCATTGTTGGTAATCAAGCCTACTACTGTTGTGTCGTCTGAAAACTTGATGATTGAGTTGGAAGCGTGCTTGGCCACGCAGTCATGGGTGAACAGGGAGTACAGGAGGGGGCTGAGCACGCACCCTTGTGGGGCCCCTGTGTTGAGGATCAGCGAAGTGGAGATGTTTTTTCCTACCTTCACCACCTGGGGGCAGCCCGTCAGGAAGTCCAGGACCCAGTTGCACAGGGGGGGTTCAGACCCAGGGCCTCGAGCTTAATGATGAGCTTGGAGGGTACTATGGTGTTGAAGGCTGAGCTATAGTCAATGAACAGCATTCTTACATATGTATTCCTCTTGTCCAGATGGGATAGGGCAGTGTGCAGTGTGATGGCAATATATCTGTGGATCTATTGGGGCGGTAAGCAAATTGAAGTGGGTCTAGGGTGACAGGTAAGGTAGAGGTGATATGATCCTTAACTAGCCTCTCAAAGCATTTCATGATGACAGAGGTGAGTGCTACGGGGCAATAGTCATTTAGTTCAGTTACCTTTGGTTTCTTGGGTACAGGGACAATGGTGGACATCTTGAAGCATGTGGGGACAGCAGACTGGGATAGGGAGAGATTGAATATGTCCGTAAACACTCCAGCCAGCTGGTCTGAGCATGCTCTGAGGACACGTCTAGGGATGCCATCTGGGCCGGCAGCCTTGCAAGGGTTAACACGCTTAAATGTCTTAATCACGTTGGTCACGGAGAAGGAGAGCCCATCTACACCTGCTCTTTCCATGACATAGACTAACCAGGTGAATCCATGAGACAATTGAGACATGGATTGTGTATGTGTGCCATTCAGAGGGTCAATGGGCAAGACTAAATATTTAAATGCCTTTGAACGGGGGTATGGTAGTAGGTGCCAGGCGCACCGGTTTGTGTCAAAAACTGCAACGCTGCTGGGTTTTTCACGCTCAACAGTTTCCCGTGTGTATCAAGAATGGTCCCACCACCCAAAGGACACCCAGTCAACTTGACACAACTGTGGGAAGCGTTGGAGTCAACATGGGCCAGCATCCCTGTGGAACGTCTTCGACACCTTGTAGAGTCCATGCCTCGACGAATTGAGGCTGTTCTGAGGGCAAAAGGGAACTCAATATTAGGAAGGTGTTCTTATTGTTTTGCAAACTCAGTGTAAGTGTTTAACTACAGGTACCGTAGATCTGAGTTAAACAGCTGTAAGAGGCAGTGGACGTATTGTTGTCCGTCAGTTTGCTCCAATCAGGGGAGAGATGGTAGGGGGAAAAGTATAGAGGAAAATACAATAGTAAAAGGGGATTAGAAATGATAGAACCTGATAGAACCTTATAGAACCTGATAGAACCTGATAGAACCTGATATAACCTACAGTCTATCTTCTCTAAGTAGCTAGTCCCCTAGTCTATATGCCTCACAGTCTTATAGATGTTCTCAATGTCATAGAGCAACTCCCAAATGGCACCCTATACCCCATCAACCAATCAACCAGTCAATAGTAGTGCACTATGTAGGGAATAGGGTGCCATTTGGGATGCAGCTATAGAGGCCATGTGAGGCCCCTCTCTCCTCTCTCCTCTCTCCTCCTCTCTACCTCCAGGGTCGCCATTGGGGCGTTGATGGTGCTGGCTACTGGGCACCTCGGTCTCCACGATAACAACACCATGCCTTGGCCAGAGTTGTGACATAGACGACTGGGGCTCGGGCTTTGATGTCTCCATGACAACCGTTGGCGCCAACAACAACACGTCCTCCTCCCAGCAGGCCGGTGACGACTCTACGCGGTCACAAACAGAGACAAGAGGATCCTGGATAAATACAACCACCACCAACACCATCACCTGCATCATCACATACATTATCACCTACATCATCACCTACATGATAACTACCTACATTATCACCAACTACATCATCATCACCACTGACACCATTCTTCCGCTACGAGCCGGAAAATTACGGAATATCATCATTTGCAATGCTGTCCATTTCCTTCCATGGACTATAGGGAAAATGAAGCCATTTCTGCTTCTTTCTTTTTAAGAATAATATGTGAGTGAGCATGTTGTGTATTATGTCGTCAGAGAGGAGCACCAGAGCTGTGAGGGGGTATATGTCATTATGTTGTGTATTATGTCATCAGAGAGGAGCACCAAGCTGTGAGGGGGTATTATGTCATTATGTTGTGTATTATGTCATCAGAGAGGAGCACCAGAGCTGTGAGGGGGTATTATGTCATTATGTTGTGTATTATGTCATCAGGGAGGAGCACCAGAGCTGTGAGGGGGTATTATGTCATTATGTTGCGTATTATGTCATCAGAGAGGAGCACCAGAGCTGTGAGGGGGTATTATGTCATCAGGAGGAGCACCAGAGCTGTGAGGGGGTATTATGTCATAGGGACAGTTGGGGTGTTTATGTCATCAGAGAGGAGCACCAGAGCTGTGAGGGGGTAGTCCATATGGTGTGTGATGGATCGGGGGACAGCTTGAAGGGGATGTATGGAGCTCATGGTGGGATACAAGTTAATGTACATGTAGAAACCAGTTTTAGTTATAGCACTAGTCAGCCACTCAATATAAGGGGTTATGGTATGAAGAGAAACCAATCCGTTGTCTAATCATTGATCTATTATCATCAGTCATTTCAAAGAGAAACAATTACATAACTACCACAAGAGCACAGCAGGTGAGGTAGCAATGGTCCAAGGGTAGAAATCTCTCGAAGTCTGTATGAACTGAGAGACCGATCCTTACCGTCATTCGTGAATATATTTAACAGAAGTTAGCAGACAGCCAGGTCCAGAGAACAGAGTATCACATACGGTTATTTGTTTATATGCCACCTGAAGACATGAAACCTCTCCGCCTTGATCGTTTAACAGCTGCTCTATAACAGCTACATCCCTGCACCATCCTTTTCCCGTACCTAGACCCGTCCACCTTAGTGCCGAATCTCTGCGTTGTTCCGCAGACTCTCATCAGAACCAAGATCTGTGGCCTGAGTGCCTGATCAATCAGTCCATTTAAAAAGAAACCAATACATAACCACCCACAAGAGCAGGCATAGAGTAACACGGCCAAGGGTAAAAAATCTCTCGAAGTCTGTATGAAATCTTGAGAGACCCATCCTTACCCTGTCATTTCGTGAGAATATCTAAACAGACAGGTAGCCAGACAGCCAGGCAGAAACAGAGACATCCACATACGGTATTAGTGTGATCTAATCAACTGAAAGACAGAAACCTCTCCCGGCTCATTGATTCGTTTATACAGCGCTCTATTAACAGTCACCTTAGCAACAACTGTTTTTCCCGGTACATTAACCGTCACCTTAGTGACTGACTCTCTGTTGTTCCCAGACATCTCATCAGAACCAAGATGTGGCCTGGATCTCCGGCGTATTTACCATAAAAACCCTAATCAAGACCTCTCTGGGGTTTAATTACCTTTAATAACCCTTGTGTGTCATCATTAGAACCATGAGGTGGCCTGTCTCTGCCTTAATACCTCCCTCCTCTCTATCCCCCTCTCTCCTTCCTCCCCTCTCTCCGTCCTTCTCTCTTTCTCCCCTCTCTCTCCCTCCTCCTCTCTCTCTCTTCCTCCCCTCTCTCTCCTTCCTCCCCTCTCTCCTTCCTCCCCTCTCTCCCTGCTAACCCAGTGTGTTGTCTCCTGGTCAGAATCAAAGAGGAGTCCCTGGTGTTTGAGGGCCTCCCCCAGGCAGCAGCAGACATCGCTGTGAGGCTGGATACTTTGTCTCAGACCCTCCAAGCCTCCGTCACCAAACAGGTCAAAGACTAAAACTCGCTTGAGAGACTCTTGAAATAGCCTGGTCCATTGCTAACGAAGATAGCCTGGTCCCAGATCTGTTTGTGCTGGCTCGCCAACTCCTGATCATAGAAGTTGGCAGCACGAACAGCTCTGGGACCAGGCAACTAAGGCCTAGATTCAATCGATCATGTTTTGACGGTGTTGGAGGTGTAACTAACTGCGTTGGAGCTGTCAAATCGGTGAGAAGCTGCTCTTGTGATCAGTGTCACGAAGCCACACCCGTTCCACTCGCGTTAGAAGTTCAGAAGGAGAAAGTGTAGCTATATAGAAATAATGACCCTCAAAAAAGGAAAATCATTTAACTAAATAATGAGGATTTCTATCAGCCTAATGGAGGTGTAGATTACCTCTCACATTCCAGTGTTCAAACTTGTAAACAAGGCTGCATGGGATTGCTCTTAATGCGACTCCGTGCAGCCAGTGGCAATGTCCGCTTTAGGTTTCATTCCGGGGAGCTGCTTGTGGATTTGACAGGTCTAACACATTCCACCTCTGATACCGCCAAAACAACCGCTATGTGGGTGTCGGCTAGCGGGGATCTGATAGACTCTGTCCCTAAGGAGATCTCTCTGTAGACTTCACCCTCCTTCCTCTCTCCCTTTGCCCAGCAGCAGAAAGAGCTGACTGTCTGGTCCACTGTCTGGTCCACTGTCCGGTCCACTGTGCGGTCCACTGTCTGGTCCACTGTCCGGTCCAGCCACTAATGCCACCTTCAACATCTTTGTCTCTCAACAAAACATACATCTCGCTTGTCTGGAATTGGAGGTCAGCAGGATTCTACTGCTCTGTGTACTATAAGGACTGTACTAAACAGATACCTTGACAGGAATGTTCTTTCTGGTCGTGTACTATACCCAGCTAGCACATTTGGTTCCTTGAAAGTTGTGGGAACCTATGTTTTTGGTTTCACATTGCTTGTGGGAATGAAGCCATACGTTTCCTGACCGGTAAAACTGAACATCAACATTTGCTCTGGGAATGTTTATTTTTAAGTTGCAGGGAGGTTCTGAGATCTTTTTACTGTGATTTCTTGAAAGTTTTCCTGGGAGGTTTTATTAACGCTCTGAGAACGGAAAGTATAGGTTATTTTGAGGTTTTTGAATAACTTCCTTAAATCTTTCAATGAATGTTTCAATAAAACTGCTAGCTTATTTGGGGTTACATTTTTTGGACTTCATTCGCTTAGGCATTAATCATGCAAACATATTTATTTTTCAGTGAGATTCGAACCTATAATCTTCTGTTTTCTAGTCCACTGTGCCACCAGGATGGAACTAGCATACAAAGCTGTTAATTTTAGTATATTCAAACAGACTCCATTTCAAAAGAAACAAGCATTCATTAAGATCAGGTGTGCTACCAAAAATAATTTACTGAAACTTGTTACAAATGACGGTGTCAGCCATGATTCACCAAACAATATTTTGAAAGTGGAAGCAAAGTACTTTCAGCATACGTTTTCGTTTCAGTCTCCTCCATCTCTACTAACCGAAGTTAATTGTATGGATTTATTTTCTATTAATAATGTAAAATTAACAGCTGTACAGAAAGACTCATGTGAAGGCCAAATTACAGAGGAGGAACTTCTTGATGCAATTAAAGCCTTTAAGTCCAGGAAAACTCCAGGGCTGGATGGCATACCAGTTGAGGTATATCAAATATGTTCTGATACACTCAAAGGTCCGTTATTAACATGTTTTAATCACTCCTATAAAAATGGTAGATTATCAGATACTCAACAAGAAGGTTGAATTTTCATTACTACTGAAACAGGACCCAGGTGGTAAATATAAAGATCCAGTCCATTTAAAAAACTTGTCACGATCGTCGTATTGAACAGACCAAGGCGCAGCGTGATGAACGAACATGTTTAACTTTATTATCTTTAGTGATAATAGAACACAATCAACAAAACAAGAAACGACTCGTGAAGTCCACGGTAACAATGACCGAACACGGAACAAGAACCCACAAACACAAAGGGAAAACCGACAGTTTAAATATGGCTCCCAATCAGAGACAACCAACGACAGCTGACACTCGTTGCCTCTGATTGGGAGTCACTCTAGCCAACATAGAAATAAACCCAACAGAATTACCAACATAGAAATAAACACATAGAATGAACACACCCTGGCTCAACATATAGAGTCCCAGAGCCAGGGTGTGACAAAACTCCAGGGCTGGATGGCATACCAGTATACCAAACCTTTTTTGATATACTCAGAGCACCGTTATTAACAATGTTTTAACACTCCTATAAAAATGGTAGATTATCAGATACTCAACAAGAATGTCTGATTTCATTGCTACGGAAAAATAGATGATTGTCATTCTGGAAGGTTCTCCCATCTCCATAAAGGAACTCGAGTGACCATCGGGTTCTTGGTCACCTACCTGACCAAGGCCCTTCTCCCTTGATTGTACATGAGGTATTTCTATTTTTAATTTGTAATACATTTTGCAAACATTTCTAAAAATCTTTGTCATTATGGGGTATTTTGTGTAGATTTATGAGGGTTATTTTTTTAAATCCATTTTATAATAAGGCTGTAACGTAACAAAATGTGGAAAAGTCAAGGGGTCTAAATACATTCCGAATGCGCTGGATATGGGGGATACAACCATCCCAGCTCTGCAGGTTTTGCTGCGAAGAGACAATAATTAGATCATTTGTTTTGGTACTATCCATATGTAGCTTGTTTTTGGTCGAAGGTTCAGGAATGGTGAAGAAGTGCAACATTTACCTGGAGCTAACTCTGCAAATAGCACAGCTGGGTGATTTGAAAAGTCATAGTCAATCAATCAATAATATAATAATACTTTTGGCAAAATTGTTTATCTTTAATTTACAATCTGTAGAAACTATGAGAATAGAAAGGTTCAGAACTTTTGTGAAACATCACAGCACAGTTGAAAAGTATATGGCAAGAAGAAATGGATGGTCTTCAGAGATAGATGGGAGAGGTTGAGGGTAGCTGAAGGATGGGATTAAAAACAAAACAAAAATAGAACTAAAGTCTGGACACACCTACTCATTCCAGTGTGCAAATCTGTCATCAAGGCAAAGGGTGGCTACTTTGAAGAATCTCAAACATAAAATATATTTTGATTTGTTTAACACTTCTTTGGTTCCTACATGATTCCATATGTGTTATTTCATAGTTTTGATGTCTTCACTATTATTCTACAATGTAGAAAATAGTAAAAATAAAGAAAAACCCTGGAATGAGTAGGTGTGTCCAAACTTTTGACTGGTACTGTATATATTTTTAAGCTAAACAGGTGGGGCTCAAAACAGGTGGGGTTCTGCCCTGAATGACGGGTCGCCTCTGTCTGTCTGTCTGTCTGTCTGTCTGTCTGTCTGTCTGTCTGTCTGTCTGTCTGTCTGTCTGTCTGTCTGTCTGTCTGTCTGTCTGTCTGTCTGTCTGTCTGTCTGTCTGTCTGTCTGTCTGTCTGTCTGTCTGTCTGTCTGTCTGTCTGTCTGTCTGTCTGTCTGTCTGTCTGTCTGTCTTGGTCTGTCTGTCTGTCTGTCTTGGTCTGTCTGTCTGTCTGTCTTGTCTTGGTCTGTCTGTCTGTCTGTCTTGGTCTGTCTGTCTGTCTGTCTTGGTCTGTCTTGGTCCCAGGGTAAGGATGGAGATCAGGAGAAGCTCAGGGCAGCTTTTAGTGGTTGGCGGGTTTTCCCTCTCTTGCTAGGAAAGCAATATCCTGGAATTCATACTGAATATCGCTCTGTTTCACTTTTGTTTATCAGTGAAAAGACACATGTGAAACAGGGTGATATTCAGCTAATTCCAGGCTAGAAAAGCAAAGTGATTTGTAAATAAAGGAAATTGTATACGAGTGCAATGGGTTATATGTGAGAGGGTATGTTATGCTGTGAGAGAAAGATATACTGTATGCAGTGAATTGGTGAGGAAATGGGCAGCCAGGCTGAGGTGATTGTTGCATGAGTGACTTTGACCCCCATTCCTTGTCAGAGTTCAAACGACAACCCACTCCCGTTGAATGGGTTGGAAACAGAGTGCATCCCAAATGGCACCCTATACCCTATATAGTGCACTACTTTAGAGCCCTATGGAACCGGGCCAAAAGTAGTGCACTACATAGTGGATAGGGTGCCATTCTCTGGCCTAAAGTAGTGCACTACATAGTGGATAGGGTGCCATTTGCAACTGAACCACACACAGCCCTGACCTGAAGTATACAAGATCAATGGGGCTTTATATAGATGGCTTCCACTGGGATAATGTTGTGTATGGTTCCACTGGGGTAATGTTGTGTATGGTTCCACTGGGGTAATGTTGTGTATGGTTCCAGGGGGTAATGTTGTGTATGGTTCCACTGGGGTAATGTTGTGTATGGTTCCAGGGGATACTGTTGTGTATGGTTCCAGGGGATACTGTTGTTGGGGTTTTAGGCTGGGTTTTATGTATAGCACTTTGTGACATCTGCTGATGTAAAAAGGGCTTTATAAATAAATACATTTGATTGATTGATTGATTGTGTATGGTTCCAGGTGATAATGTTGTAAAGGGAAAATAGCATTGCCGTGACATGGAGGGGAGGCCAGGTTGTTTGTTGTGTTGACCCCATCCCTTTAAGAGTTTAAAGGAACAACATGAGATGGAGGGGAGGCCAGGTTGTTTGTTGCGTTGACCCCATCCCTTTAAGAGTTTAAAGGAACAACATGAGATGGAGGGGAGGCCAGGTTGTTTGTTGCGTTGACCCCATCCCTCTAAGAGTTTAAAGGAACAACATGAGATGGAGGGGAGGCCAGGTTGTTTGTTGCGTTGACCCCATCCCTTTAAGAGTTTAAAGGAACAACATGAGATGGAGGGGAGGCCAGGGTGTTCGTTGCGTTGACCCCATCCCTGTAAGAGTTTAAAGGGACAACATGAGATCATTCATCTCCTTCCCCTCCAGTTAAGGAGTTAGAAACACACAGACCTGTGTACAGCCCTGTGGCTCTGGTCTAAAGTAGTGCACTATATAGGGAATAGGGTGCCATTCTCTGGTCTAAAGTAGTGCACTATATAGGGAATAGGGTGCCATTCTCTGATGTAAAGTAGTGCACTATATAGGGAATAGGGTGCCATTCTCTGGTCTAAAGTAGTGCACTATATAGGGAATAGGGTGCCATTCTCTGATCGAAAGTAGTGCACTATATAGGGAATAGGGTGCCATTTGGGACACAGTCCTTGTCTGAGGTCAGTGACAGCAGTGATTTATCCAGGAGGGGAATTCTGAAACGATATTAGTAATTATGAAATTATAAAGGTATAGTGTATTCATTAAGTATATGGCCATATGTTTATGTTATTTTTTGTTTTGTTTAATCCAGCTGTGAAAATAAAGTATCTAAGATAGTTGTTTGTGTGTAATATGTGTTTCGTCTCCTGTTCATACCCGCTCTGCCCTCTAGCTGTCTCTTGCAGTAACAACAACTAACTCATAGCCATATGCACTTCTTCCGCTGTGAGCCCACCGCGTTTACAATCAACTAATTTATGCTCTATCTGTCAGTCATTTTAAAGTTATTTGGTCGGGATTAGACGCAGTCAGTCGGTGCCTCACATTTCCTCCTCCCAGAGGAGCTCGTAGATGTTTGTCATGGCGAAACAGAAGAAGAAAGAAAGAAAAAAAACGCTCAAACTGGATATATTTTGGTCTAGACTCTACAATATATCATCATAACTGCCTAGCTCACCAAGTACAAAAACCTCATGAACTTCCATTTAAAATGTAGACAGTTAGGCCTATTCTGCAATGAGATTTTAGTTGCCTTCTGTTTTATTATTTTTTACTTGTTCTTTGAAAGTACGCACCTGTTTTATAGTAACGCAATGGTGAGGCTTTGTGGAGACAGTCGCATTCTAGTCCCTCCTCTAGTACCCTTTACCATATGGGCAGCAGGGGAGATACACTAAGTCAGGAGGAGAGAGAGAAAGAGAAATAGATGGTCGGGAGTAGAAGCAGTCAGTCGGTGCCTCACATTTCCTCCTCCCAGAGGAGCTCGTAGAGTTTGTCATGGTGAAACAGAAAAACCCCCCACTAAAACTGGAAATGACAATGGAATTGAATTTCTGAATATGTATACTGTCATATCGACGTGAGAATGGAGTCCAAATATTTCACTCTGCTTAGAAATGTGTTTAATAGCCGTGCGTAACTGTTCCCTGGATAATTGTCTCCGTCCATGCGTAAAATGAGACGAGCGTGGTGGTGAGAAAATTATCGGGAAAAAAGTATCCAGATATCTTAAGAAACTTCATAAAATAGGTGTTCATTCACGAAGCCCTCTTGTTTTTTCAGAACCACGAGATGGACGGAAAACGGTGGTGAGGACAGACAGAGCATTTTGGAAACAACTGCCTTAAAAGTGACTTAATCAAGTTCAATTAATGTTAATCTCTAAAGAGCACAGCACATGATGTAAACGTCACTCTCTCCCCGCCCATGTAGCGCCAGTATGAGGTGAGGTATCTGAAGGGAGGCAGAGCTTCCACTTGAAGATGACACAGGAGGAGAGGGCATCTCAACAACTGACACGGAAGCCGAGTTCTCCCCACGTCGCCATAGATTCAAGATAACCTTTTGTGGAGAGGATATAATCATATAACGACAGCAATGCTTTTTTCGAGAAGAGCAAAGTAGATAGAAGCTTTGGCAAGAAGTAGAACATATAACTCACCAGGGTGAAATATGGAACTTGAATTATTCAACCACCTGTTCTCAGCGAGGACCACTATGCTCTGTTGTTTCTTCTTATGTAAGTCAAGTAAGTTCGTTTTCTTATTGATTATTTTGGCTAAGACTTACCTTCTGACAGTATGATAAGGTAAGTCTGGACACAATATAAGAGAAATGGAGAATTCATGTTGTTGTTGCTGTTTTCTTGAACCAAGGTGTGAAATTGCTTGTAGCCTAGCCTATAGCCTATTCTTAAAGGCATGCCACTAACAAAATATTCTGTAACTTTATATCAGTTTATTCATCAATCAATTCATTGCCAATATGACCGTGACCGTTTGTTGATTTTACCAAATTACCTACCTACCACAATCGGTGCTCTCTCAGTGCAGTTGCTTTATTCCAAAACCACTCGAACTAATTGGGATTTTCCCACCTTCTCCACTAATTTCCTCCTCATGCAGGTGTTTGCCCATCCAGTAGCCTCTTTTAAATGCCATTAGCACTACACTCCACACTGTTTTCTCATTCATTAAATTGCATATTTATATCGTTAAAGCTTTGGGCTACAGTTTAATACCGCCACATTACTCTAAATGTGGCAGACAGGCTGCTGTGTCTTGTGACCTTCAAAGTGGAGGAGTAGAAGAGCTGTCAGCTGAATTCTTCCAAGAGGAACACCAAGGTGAGAATGCTCTTCATTGATTACAGCTCAGCATTCAACACCATAGTGGCCTGATCACCGACAACGATGAGACAGCCTATACGGAGGAGGTCAGTGACCTGGCAGTGTGGTGCCAGGCAAACAGCCTCTCCCTCAACGTCAGCAAGAAAATGGAGCTGATTGTGGACGACTGGAAACGGAGGGCCGAGCACGCCCCCATCCACATCGACAGGGCTGTAGTGGAGCGCGTCGAGAGCTTCAAGTTCCTCGGTGTCCACATCACTTAGGAATTATCATGGTCCACACACACCAACACAGTTGTGAAGAAGGTACGACAACGTCTCTTCCCCCTCAGGAGGCTGAAAAGATTTGTCACACCCTCAGAGCCTCAAACATTCTACAGCTGACCGCAAGGCGCTACAGAGGGTAGTGCGTATGGCACAGTACATCACTGGGGCCGAGCTCCCTGCCATCCAGGACTTCTATACCAGGCGGTGTCAGAGGAAGGCTCTAAAAATGGTCAAAGACTTCAGCCAACCAAGTCATAGACTGTTCTCTCTGCTACCGCACGGCAAGCGGTACCAATGCACCAAGTCTGGAACCAACAGGACCCTGAAACAGTTAATACCCCCAAACCATAAGACTGCTAAATAGTTAGTTAAATAGTTAGCCAAATAGCTACCAGGACTATCTGCATTGACTCTTTTTGACTCACCACATACACTACTGTCTATTATCTACCCTGTTGCCTAGTCACTTTACCCCTACCTACAGTGGGGAGAACAAGTATTTGATACACTGCCGATTTTGCAGGTTTTCCTACTTACAAAGCATGTAGAGGTCTGTAATTTTTATCATAGGTACACTTCAACTGTGATAGATGGAATCTAAACTCCACTCGCCGTGTTTGGAGGAAGAAGAAGGATGAGTACAACCCCAAGAACACCATCCCAACCGTGTGAAGCATGGAGGTGGAAACATCATTCTTTGGGGATGCTTTTCTGCAAAGGGGACAGGACGACTGCACCGTATTGAGGGGAGGATGGATGGGGCCATGTATCACGAGATCTTGGCCAACAACCTCCTTCCCTCAGTAAGAGCATTGAAGATGGGTCGTGGCTGGGTCTTCCAGCATGACAACGACCCGAAACACACAGCCAGGGCAACTAAGGAGTGGCTCCGTAAGAAGCATCTCAAGGTCCTGGAGTGGCCTAGCCAGTCTCCAGACCTGAACCCAATAGAAAATCTTTGGAGGGAGCTGAAAGTCCGTATTGCCCAGCGACAGCCCCGAAACCTGAAGGATCTGGAGAAGGTCTGTATGGAGGAGTGGGCCACAATCGCTGCTGCAGTGTGTGCAAACCTGGTCAAGACCTACAGGAAACGTATGATCTCTATAATTGCAAACAAAGGTTTCTGTACCAAATATTAAGTTCTGCTTTTCTGATGTATCAAATACTTATGTCATGCAATAAAATGCAAATTAATTACTTAAAAATCATACAATGTGATTTTCTGGATTTTTGTTTTAGATTCCGTCTCTCACAGTTGAAGTGTACCTATGATAAAAATTACAGACCTCTACATGCTTTGTAAGTAGGAAAACCTGCAAAATTGGCAGTGTATCAAATACTTGTTCTCCTCACTGTATATGTACATACAGTGCCATCAGAAAGTATTCATACCCCCTTGACCTATTCCACATTTTGTTGTGTTACAGCCTGAATTCAAAATTGATTAAATATGTTTCCTTACCCATCTACACACAATACCCCAGAATGGAAAAGTGAAAACATGTTTTTTTAAATGTTTGCAAATTTATTTAAAATGAAATACAGATATCTCATTTACAAAGGTATTCACACCCCTTAGTCAATACATGATTAGAATCACCTTTGGCAGCGATGACAGCTGTGCGTATTTCTGGTTAAGTCTCTAAGCGCTTTGCACACCTGGATTGTGCAACATTTGGCCATTTATTATTTTATAAAGTCTTCAAGCTCTGTCAAGTTGGTTCTTGATCATTGCTAAACAACCATTTTCAAGTCTTGCCATAGATTTTCATGCCGCTGTAAGTCAAAACTGTAACTAGGCCACTCAGGAACATTCAATGTCGTCTTGGTAAGCAACTCCAGTGTATATTTGGCCTTGTGTTTTAGGTTATTGTCCTGCTGAAAGGTGAATAGGTCTCCCAGTGTCTGTTGGAAAGCAGACTGAACCAGGTTTTCCTCTAGGATTTTGCCTGTGCTTAGCGCTATAATGTTTCTTTTTATCCTAAAAAACTCCCTTGCCAATGACAAGCATACCCATAACATGATGCAGTCACCACCATACTTGAAAATATGAAGAGTGGTACTCAGTGACGTGTCGTGTTGGATTTGCCCCAAACATGAAGTTCATTTCTTTGTCACATTTCTTTAAGTTTTACTTAAATGCCTTATTGCAAACAGGATGCATGTTTTGGAATATTTTTTATTCTGTACAGGCTTCCTTCTTTTCACTCTGTCATTTAGGTTAGTATTGTGGAGTAACTACAATGTTGTTGATCCATCCTCAGTTTGCTCCTATCACAGCCCTTCAACTCTGTAACTGTTTTAAAGTAACCATTGGCCTCATGGTGAAATCCCTGAGCTGTTTCGTTCCTCTCCAGCAACGGAGTTAGAAAGGACGCCTGTGTCTTTGTAGTGACTGGGTGTATTGATACACCATCCAAAGTGTAATTAATAACTTCACCGTGCTCAAAGGGATATTCAGTGTCTGCTTTTTTTTTTTACCCATCTACCAATAGGTGGCGGCCTTTGCGAGGCGTTGGAAAACCTCCCTGATCTTTGTTGTTGAATCTGTGTTTGAAATTCACTGCTCGACTGAGGGACCTTACAGATAATTGTATGTGTGGGGTACAGAGATGAGGTAGTCATTCAAAAATCATGTTAAACACTTATTGCACACATAGTGAGTCCATGTAATTTATTATGTGAAATTGTTAGTCCTGAACT